CTACAGGGCCTAGCAAAAAGTGTTGTATGCACAGTTTATAGAAAATTTTATTACCTTTTAAAAGCTTCAAACCGTTTTGGAATTGCTTAATTCGTTCTTGAGATATATATGATAAAGTGGACCCAATTTTTTTTTTTTTTTTTTTGCAAAAACGGTAAATTGCAAATATCTCAAAAACGGTACCATAGAATTAAAAATAACCTTGATTTTCGGAATCAGGGGGTGATTTTACATAAGAATTTCATAACGGCGTTTCTGGTAAAGAGAAAAAGTTGAAATTTGTGGTCCAGTGTAATTTTCATTGAAGTCGCCACAAGTTATATATTTTGGTAAGAGAGATATTGAAGAAAAGCTACGAAAAGTACCAAAAACACTTTTTTGAAAAAATCCATCCATTGTCCGATAATTTTAAAATAACGAATATAATGCGGGACAAATGCAGGACACTTGGAAAAAATCAGTACATTTTCAGGTTTTTTAAGTTTGAAAAACTACGCAGGACCGACTTTTGAAAAACAGTACGGTCCTGCAAAAAACAACGGTTGGTCACCGTAGCTATAAGTGACTATAAAAGACCATCAAGTCAAAGTGCACGAATGGTATTTTCAGGGATAGTAGTCGAGAGTTCTGGCTTTAATTTAAGGAATCGTAGGGTTCTATCACCTTTTGTTTTTTTGCTAGAGCTTCTCAAATGTTGCATACAACGCGATTTTTCGATACTTTGACCACGCTTTTCTCAAAATCTGGACGTGATGGAAACTTTTTACTTACGGATTCGTAATCACCATGAAAAAGTCTATCAAAAACAGCTTTAAAATTTTAGGTTACAAAATTGTTTCCCATTTTTGTTGGCCTGTGTTATCTATATCTGATCGAATCTGGCAATCGTTCATCTTCATCAGCCAAAGGTATGCAGTTTTGTCATTCGTTTATTAGGATGCAATGATTTGCAGATGCATTCCGGTGCAAGTAAGAGACCATCTATTTCAAGTGTCAAGGGTACTAATAGATATAGACCGTAGTATCACCGACGATATAAAGATTTTTAGCCAAAATATCGATGGCCCTCTGCAATAACGACACAACTCAAAAATATATATTTCAGTAGAGCCAACTAAAGATTTTGTGTTTCGTAATTATTCCGGATTATTTGCAGTAATTCTGTAGGAAAAATTTGTAAGCTTTCAAATTATGACTTTTTCTAAAGATCTAGTAAGTGTTGGACTGCAAAAATACGATATAAGTAACAACTCGGTAAGTAGTTAAACGAAAAAAATTCCGTCTGCCGCCGTTCAGTAGTAAGGGTTGGCTACTTCGGTTTTATGACAAATGGCAAAAGTGCGCTTCTGCCGGATTGGTAACAACTAAGCCTATGTTGATTTGTTACAGAATAATAAAATTATAGTTTAAAAAACTAAAACCTCCCTATTATAATTGTCATTCGTACTGTGATCAGGTATGTAACTTGAGAATAGAAATCGCTGCATCTTTTAGGCGCATCAATATTATATAGTTACATCCCGAGCTAATAAGAGGAAAGTACAAATATGGTTATTTATAAACCCAATCCGCTATATCACTCAAAAACATGAAACTTTGGGTTGTGCCGTTATTGCAGAGGACCATCGATATGTAAACACTCAAATTGAACTATATTTTTTAAATTGTATCACTTTCCTATTCTGTGTGTCATTTTCTACTCCAACCTTACTCTAATTACTCTAATTTCTGCGAAAAACCCTCCAAAGCATAGCAGAAATGTTTGTTTATTCGCTATTTGTATCGATAATTTTCGTATTAAACATCTATTATATTTGAGAATTTTGTTATTAATGATTTTAGCCGTTCTTGGTTTGCTTGAAAATTATTTTACTTGCATGTGTTACAATATTTATTTAGTTTGCATTTTAACCTTTGCTTACGCTTTGCCCTTTCACATTTTTATTTCGTTTATTTTACAGATACGAAAAGCATGAGTCGTGAAAGCGATGACAACTTAAGCTCGATTAATTCAACGTACACAGGTACAATAATTTATTTTATTATATATTTTGCTATCTTTTTTTAATATAATTTGTGCTCAATTTAATGCTTAACATGTACATATGTACATATTTCCTTTATTGGGTAATTATTTCACTTTCTTTTAATATTGTTCATTGCAATAACAATTTAAACTCCATATCATTTATGGTACAGTTTTTAGGTTGATGAAACAAAATATATGTATGTACATATATATTTTTTAATATTAATTACTAACTCCCCTTTTTAGTATTTTTAAATGATTTTGATTGTCTAGTCGGCAAATTGGTAGCTTAGGTTGATAAAACAAAATATGTATTTTTCTAATATTAATTGTTTTTTTTTTTTGTAACGATTTTTATTGTTTCGTCGGGCGAATTGAGTAGTATTTTTCGAAATGGGTCATGGGGCTCGCTTTTACCCGAGATAGCATAACACGGCTAATTTACTTGTGCACTTAGTAAGAAATAAGTTAATATTCCATATAATTTTGCAATAGACTCAATTCCTGCAGAGGCACAATGTTATTTGAACACAATTATTCCTCAAATTCTTTAACTTAGTTGGCGATAATGGGCAGACTTATGAAGAAAGACGTCGGATCAACAAATTTGTCACATTATTGGTCTAAAAATTTATATCGAAAACGATATTTATAAATATATCAATGTTAATATAGACAAAAATATCAAAAACCTTCTTTCCTCTTTTGCGAAGTTTCATTAGTTACACATACCGCGTGAAGACCGGCCATTCTGCTCTTACTCCTCCCATTGTGTCGTTGCTTCTTTTGCTTTCATGGGTGTGGAATAGTGTTGCCAGATTTTTTTCCAGCCATACGGGACAAACGCATAGTTTCTCCCAAAAATACGGGATTTACAAAAATGTAATATATAATAAATAAAGGAGTTGGTTTAAAAGCCCAACTACTAACCATATACATATTAACAAAAGTGATCCATTTCAACGAATTAAAGTTCAGATTAGTTATATGCTTATGATAAATTTCGTTTATTTCATGACAACACTTTTCAATGTATACAAAAATATGTATGTATGTACGTAGACATGTAATTGACAAAACCATAAAAACAAAATAAGAGATACGGTTTCGGCCAAAATAATATCAGCAAAATTCAAAGTCATACTGTTGGCATCTTATCTTTATTTATTTATTGTTAATAATTTTCATTTAAAATATGGGACGATCTATAACAGATACCACATAAATAAAAGTTTCAAATCCTGCAAAAAGCTCACAAAAACTAATCAAACTTAAAAAAATGTTCATCAAAATTAAAATTTTTTTAATTAGATTTCCTAAAAAGAGTATGCCCATTCAATTATAGTACAATAAAGTGCAAGTTTCAAGTCGCTAACAATTACCATTGATTTCTTAAAATTGTTTTTGTGGAGAGTGTTGCGTTTTTCTTCCATATAAAAGTCAGTATTGTTCATGCGTTAAATGGAAGAAACTCGCAACACCCTCCACAAAAAAAATAGAAAAACTCAACGGTAATTTTTAGCTATTTTTTCTTACAGAGGTGCATGCAAGTATGCTTGGTAATGATTAGGGCTCGGAATCTCATGCGAATGCATGTTTTTATTGGGCATCTTCAAATGGAAATGGTTAAGTTATCTTAACGAATCATGAAATTTCCTTTAAAATGGCATTCAATCGTTAGTGCATATTTTGCAGTAAGTGCATGATTTTGCGAAAAATACCAGATTTTGCATATTTATTGCGCATATTTTAGTATGTTTTAAAATAAATACATGTTTTTTGCATACACTGAGAAAAAAACGCGTTGTAAAAATGATATTTTTTTATTTGATTACCGTTTAAAAATGTTCGTATTGAAATCAAGTGAAAGGTGTTCAAAATTGAATATTTCCATTATACATACACTACGTATAATGGAAATATTCAATTCAAATACGCCCGTATTAAAATGAAGCATTTTTCACGGCACGCATGGCGTTTTGCACGTCTCGGATGCTTTTTCTTGTATAATTAAGAAAGTATGTATATGTATACAAAGCATGCACAGCGGTGACAACACATACACACACATATGGTACATGTTTATCTGTAAAAATGATTCAAACTCAACATTTGAAAACACGTTTACATGTATGGCGGTGGCTGAGTGTGCAAAGACGCTTGATACAATTGGTTGCTGCCAAAAGGGTCCGGGTTCAATTACTATCAGACGAAACATAAAATACATTTTTTTTTTCTTCGTAGTTACGAAAAAGCATCTGTGCACTTCACAACGACATATTTTATAACGTACATACTCAAAATTATAACGAGTTGGGTTGGTGCTCTTTCATATGCGTATTTTATTAAATTTAGCACGTTTTTTTTTAATTCTAACATTTTTTTCAGTCAGTGTATTTTTTGATTTATAACCATTTAAATTTAGTGAGTAATCTCTTGACAAAAAAATTCCCCTTTACAAAAAAAATTGCCCTTGAGGCACTCTCTTCTACCTCTGTTAGGTCTCAACTAGTGGAAGACTGTAAGAGAGAACTGGCCTATGTTTCTGATCAATACGAAATTACCCTAATATGGGTCCTGGGACATAGGGACATTTATGGAAACGAGGCAGCGGTGGACGGGAGCGCCTCGCTCAGGGAGATAAAGGCATCAATTACCGAAATCACTCGCAGGCCAAGCAGGGTGTCCTACCACCCACTTAGAACCAAAGCTCTCTTAGGAATGAGCAATGAAGATACCTACAAACTTACTGCAGTATTCACAGGGCACTGGCCCGTTGAAGTACATGCATTACCCTTCAAAAGGTAGTTGCGATGACCCTAGCTCAAAAGAGACTGGCGAACACTTCCTGTGCGAGTGTCAAGCCCTCGCAAGGATGAGGCTAAAGACCCTCTGCATTCCCTCTGCAGAATGTTTAAGAGTGCAGCTGTCTCTCTCTTTATGACGTACTGAAATTCATTAAAGCCGCCAAATGGCTGTAGGTTGCAGGAGTTGTGGAACCAAAATGGCAAACTTTCTCAAACTATGTATTAAACTGTGAATGTTTCTATTTACACAAGATTGTTACTGACAGTTCGTTTATAAACTAATTTTATACATAAATATGTATTGTATTTTGAAGTGCGTTGTTTTAGTTATTTTCTTGTTAAAATACATGTGTTTTTTATTTTTGTGCCATTATTAGTATGTATTTGTATTAGGAAAATATTTTTAATTGTATATTTTACTTGTTTATAGCGCATATTTTTGAATTTTGCGTGCATATTACATGCGCATATTTTTGATTTTTTAATGCATGCGATTCCGAGCCCAAGTAATGAAATACTCACAATAGCCGCGTTAAAGCATAACCATGTTGAGTAGAAGTTTACAGGTTGAAATGATTAATGAAATTGTCGAAAATTCGGGAAAAATCTTGTCCCGACGGATCATTTCAAATTTAACGCAAAATCCGGGACATCCCGGCAAATACTGGACATTTGGCAACGCCAGTGTGGAAGTATATTTTCATCGGTACATACAAATCCAGTCCAATAGGTCAAATATTGCAACTGCGTTTGACATTTATTTCAGCCGACATTTCAATATTTTTCAAAACGGTCTTCCTCCTAAGACCACCTTCTTAACCACCTGTAGTTAACTGCCGAATGAGAGTTAACTCGCGATTGTAAAAACGACCCTAAAGCGCGTTCTTAGTCTTTTAACCCATAATTTATTTAATGCTTTTGACTATGTCCAACTCGTTCTAAGGGTGGTATTATCACTTGCGAAGCGAATGATTTTGGCGAAGCGAACGATTTGGCGAACCAAATTAAAAGGCACAGAAGGCATTAAAAGTGTTCGCGATGCAAGGAACTTGCACAAGCTGGTAAAAGCGAACACTCTTAATGCATATTTAAGTTGCGTCCGCCAATCCATTCGCTTCGCACGTGATAATACCACCCTTAGGGTATTATCATCATTCAATCTTCTTTGGGAATATAATCTTGCATGGTGTTTCCAGGAGGTACATGCTTTAAAATTGACAAAGGAGTGATGATCGATTTATTTGTCATAGATGCACACTCTGAAAATCTGCTAAAAGTTGTAAAGCACACTGATAAAGTCCAATCAGTTGGTTTATGAATGGCTTCGATCTTTCTCACAGTATCTTTAATAGGACCTTTAATATGTACGTATATGCAATGTTCAGACGCCTTATTACGTGGTATTTGACATAAACCACAGGGTCGCCTTGTGGATTAACAAAGTACCCTGGGATTCTAATCATCGGACATGTATTCATCAGGCCTTATTGCGCTTGATGGCTGATACATGTGCCCTGCGGCGCAGCAGACTTTGTACCGCTAAGCGAGTATATTAAAGTGAAGAGACATGAAAATATTCTTTGGAAGTTATTGATTAGATCTGAAAAAGTATGGCAGCATATACAGAAATGTTTACTGAACATGATTTTTAATGTTTTGGTATTTAAGAATCCACACAACTTATTCATGTGGGTTCACTAAAACATCTTACTAAGTTCTCTAAAATAATTTAATTTCCATTTTATTTTCTAAAATTTCCTTTTAAAGTTAGTCTCAGTTTTGGTAATAAATATTCAAATAAGAATTATCTTCTAAATATATTCTCAACCTACATGCAAAAACTTACAGAATACAATCAATATACCTGTTTGGTAGTGTCAAAAAGAACAAGGTTTATCACCTCAATATAATATTGCTTGTAGTTCTATATCACAGACAAAACTTACCTTTAGCTCTTGCGAATCGGCAGTGAAGGAATGAGATAATCAAGAAACATATTTTTGTACGGCGCAGATGTTCATTTATTGAATGAATTCTCATAGAATAAAATGTAACGATTATAAAAATAAAGACGTACATACATATACAAGTATAACTTGCTATTTTTTTCATATACATACTTACATGCATATTTGTAAGCTTCATTCACAACTCAGCTACATACATGCATTCATACATGAGGCACGAT